TGCCAGGGGCCTCGGCAGAGGGAGCGGACCGACGGCAGCCTCGGTCGTCTCCGTCGCGCTGGGTACCCGGTCGCTCTGCGTCTCCCAACCACGGGCACCCGGGCAGGAGGGAGCGCAACCCGTCCCTGCGGTGCTTTCCAGAGGCTTCCTCCCCACCCTTCCCGCTCGACGATGTTGGTTCACAGAATTACAGAAAGTTTGGGGTTGGAAGGGACCTCTGTGGGTCATCTAGTCCAACCCCCCTGCCAAAGCAGGGTCACCTACAGTAGGTTGTAGAGGACCTTGTCCAGGCGGGTCTTGAATATCTCCAGAGAAGGAGGAAGAAAGTTCGGTTTGTCAGCTTAGGCATCGGCCTGAAACCGCACGTGCCGCTGGCAGCGTCACCGGGCTGACGGCACCGAATCGCAGAGCGCATCGTCACCCAGACACAGCGGCTGCCTAGTGCAGGGTGATGCAACGTGGCCAGTCGTCTCGGTAGGAGAAGACCGAAGGAAAAGACAAACTGAAATCAGAGGTGAAAATCAAAGCTTTCGCTAATAAAAGAAAGTCCTAATGCCTGGGAAGTTCTCCTGCTACGCAGCGCGGGTAAGATGCTCGTGCTTTTCACAATTTCGTACTTTTTCGCTGTGAAACGCCAGACCCCTACAGCACACACACCCAACAGCACTGGTTAGAAAAAAGTGTCGCAAAACCTGTTTGAAACGGGGAGAAATACACATCGTTTTGAGAATTTTACAGGGTAACTTTACACAGTGAAAGACTGTTGGCATAAACCCCGATGTGGTGATTTGCTGCCCTGTATCAATCCAAAATTATTTACATATTCTTAGAAAGAGAATTGCAAGTGCACTGTGAAACGAGTAAGGGCTGCGTAAAAAATCAGGAGCAAAAGTAGCTACAGTGAACATTCCTATCCTTCAAACATAAGTATCTCTACTACTCCAAAATCTTTATTTTCCTTATTAAACTACCTAAGGGTTTTGGTGATTGAAGGTAGAGTTTGCTTTTGCTTTTTTTTTTTTAACTAAAGCTCAGCAAGGTACATGAAGTCCGACGAAGCCATAAAATAAAACCAAACCGATTCTCACAAGTTGAAAATAACTACGTATTTTTGGCATAACACAATTCTCGTCTGGTTAGGCAACCTGTTTGCCCAGTTTCGGTCCAGTGGGATTTGCACTGGCCAAAGTATGTACCCTAAAGACGGAAGTTACGAGCACGAAGCAAAACTACCACACCAGAGCTGGCCCCAAGACTCGCCGCAGAGTGAAACGCTGGTTTTGGGGAAAAGCGACACGCTGACCAGCTCCTCTCTAACACCGATCCGCGCCACTCCGACAGCTTCCCTGGCGAAACACTGAGTTCAGACCTCCTCTGGACGTAAAATCTGCCGTACTGCGGACGCCTTCTCCGGAGATTGCCAAAAGAGCATCTGATACTATTAAAAATATTATAATGTTCTGTAAGTTAAAACAGAATAACTGATTTGCACTGCTTTTTGTTTCAGAATATACATCTGGGCTGACAATTCATCCAGCAGGTTTCAGCTTGAAGCTATTTAAAACAGCTGAGTTATAAACTCTGAAAATTGGGGTTTGGAGTAAAACGCTGACAGCCCCGTGACTACTGCGGTGCTACCGGCAAGAGGTTTTAGACTTCCCCTCCCGCTTTCTTCCCCTCGCCTTTCGGCCCGCTCAGACTCCCCAGTACTGCCAGCACCACGCGGAAGCCACCCGTAACACCTAACGCGGCGACTCGGGTCTTCACGGCTTGGAGCACAGCCTCCCAGGCAGAGGGCCACGTGCTGACGGCTCGGCTCAAACCCAGTACCGCCGGCTGCTCTGATCAAGACGGGAACACGGCGTGGACCCGGGTGCACAATCTCTATTTCTTTTCTGCTGGAACATCACTAGATAGTTAGAGCCACGCTAACAGGAACACCTCTAACGCTCCTCCCCACAAAACCAGCTTGCATTAACAGTCTTACCGGTCAGGACGCTCCACACGCGCTCCCTCCCCAGCGCGTGTAAACACTCACACTCCAAATTCAAACCTAACACTAAGCCAACGCTCTTTCAAAAAGTTCTCATCCAACCCAGCGCTGCTTATAACGCGCTTCCTCTCCCGCGTATGATTTATATCTGTGTTTTCAAATTAAAACAGTGCTGTACCCAGAGTGCTTTCTAGCTCAAGATCTCCGTGAAAGAATTACGACACACTTAAAACACCACTCGAAACATTATCATCAACCGATTATTTATTGCCAGCAAAACTTCAGAAAGTGCTGTCTGTGAGCTATTTGACTTTCAAGTTACTGTTCAGCTGAGACATATATATAAATATATATGCACAAAAAAACTTATATATAGCCCAAATCTGTCTTTTTTTTTTCCTTTTCAGAGATAATTCCCATTCTGTTACACCACAGTCAAGTGTTCCACTGCATGACAGCTTCTTCGGTCTGCAGGGCCGGGCAGCTGCACGCAAGTCACATTTCAAAAACAAACTGAATTTTTAAAAACGGTCAAAATTATTTCAACTCGGTTTCAAACGAATTTACCAATAAGTAAGGACGTCTAGATCTTCGGCGTATTTAAAACCCGCACGCGTCGCGCACCGCGTGTGCCAACACCGACGCGGCCACGGCGGGAGGGTGCGAGGGGCAATGCCCACTCCTCGGACACCAGTAAATGGGCCGTGGCTGCACGTCCCCGTCAGCAGGCAGACACGGGACCTGTACAAATATTGAGATACACGGACACAAAAAGATTGGGAAATGCTCTAAACCTTCGCCTGTCCTCCTGCCACCTTCTCACTGTAATAATATTCTCAATACTTTAATATTTAATTTAGAGCTCTCCCTTCTTCTAACAAACCGCGACCGCATCTTTTGAATCGCTGCGAGGTGGGAGAAGGCTCAGACGTTTCGACTGAGAACTGCAACGCCAGTCCAACCACGTCAGAGCTCTCGCGTCCCTTCCGTAAAGCGCAGCAACACCAACTTCATCTAACGCTCAATTAAATTATAATCACAACTCTCCCAAAGCTCCTCCTCCTTACCCCGAAGCCCCCGTGAATCAGAACGGCCGTGCTCAACGCTCAGCGAGCCTTCCAGCGCCACGCCGAGTCACGAGAACAGGGGACACCCCGTTTTTCTGCCGTTTCTCCGCAGCCCGACGTCGCGCCCCAAGCACGGGGCTCCTCTGCGGCTCCAGGCTCTGC